AGTAAAGGAATAACAAATGAGATCATCAATCAAAAGACTGTCGCGAGATTCTTCCCTCACTAACATGAATCATGCTTCATTAACGTTGATAGTGGGCTTTCTGGCATAACCAGAGAGCATTCGGAAGCCCGCATTGCAGTTTCTCCCCTCCTCGATCAAGGCGGCAACGCCATTCAGGCATTTGCCGGCCTCCTCCATGGCCGCTCCGGCGGTGACGGTATCAGCCAGGCGCATCTCTCCTGCGCACTTCTCGATCTCACATCGGAGGAGCCACCGCTCCCAGTTCCAGCCACCAACCATGCTGCAGACGCCGGCGATGCTCTCACTGCTGCCCATCTCTGAGGTTTCAGAGATATGAAGCCCGTAGGTATTAAGGTTCTTCTTTGGGCCGAGGGGAAGGCATTGCCATGTTCGGCGGATGTTTTTGAAGCCCGCACGGCCAAGACGACCGAGCCACATCTTGGTTGGGTTGGGATCGTAGCCGAGCGTCTTCAGGGAGAAGCCGAACTCGACACTCTTGGCGTGGCCGAGAGGACCGGCATTCATGATTTCCGAATCAAGAACCGAAAACTCAATGTAGCCACCGGGCTTGAGCACTCGCATGCACTCGCGCAGGCAAATCTCCCACTCGTCTTGGCCATTCTCGCCAAATAGCTTGAGAATGCTGTGGAGATCCCGGGCGTAAACGAGGTCAAACTGATTATCGCCAAATGGCAGGCGAGTGAGGCGGTCTACGGCGACCTGCCTGTGGTTGGGGGGTCCGCGAATGTTCGCGTTGGACAGTTGTCGGACTGCCTTCGTTGTGACGGTGTAAACCTTGGTATTGGGATACTGCAGGGCGCAGTGCCAGGCCCAATCGCAAGTGGACTGTCCGCCCAGGTCCAAAATTCTTGCGCGGTCACGGGTAACGCCGTCCTTGCCTGGAGCCATCTGTGAGAGGCGAGCCAGTCGCTTTGTCACGGGCGAGGTAATCAGGCTGCCTCCGTTCAAGAATTTGGTTGCAGCGACGTGCCATGTGGGCATGGACATCTGAGCTGCTGCCTCCCACTCCTTCTCCCGTCGCAGCTTCTCAAGGTCGTCTGTGATTGTGTCATCGCCGCGAACGACGTTGGTACTGAGTCGCTTCTTGGCGGATTGGGGGACGACACTGAGCTGGTACTTGCCAAGGAGCTGATTGAGATGGGACTGGCGGAGGGAGACTCGCTGAGCCTGGAGGGCTTCAAAGCGGGAAAGCTGGTGAACAAACGCATCACCACCATGTGCTCGGACAAAGTAGTCCAAAAAGGCACGGTAGTAGGCTGACTCTTGGCGCACTAGTTTGGAGGGTAGGCGCTTTGGTTGAGCCATTGTTGAATTCAGGTCTGAGAACCGGACCGTCTTTCTTGGTGGTGATGGGAACTTCTCCAGAGTAGTCTCCATTACCGCTGGGGGGGTAGCCTCGCTGGGCTTCTCCTCTTCCTCATCTTCCGTCTCACCACCCTCGCGGATAGTCTCGAGGGTCTTGTCATCTTCGTCTCTGTCTCCGATGACCTTCAGATAGGAATGCTGCGCCAAGAGCCAAAGCTCAGTGCGGTCGAGGTTGGAGAGAGCTTCTTCTTGTTGCTTCCGAGCATACTCGGGATCAAAATCAACGACAATCTCGGTGGGAATATCTGCAGCGCCAGGAGAAGAGGGTGATTTGATAACATCTTCGGATGGTAGACTGACGACAATGGGTCGGGCAGTGGGCATGTCATCGACCAAATCATCGGGAAGCTCCACGACCTGCTCAACCGGGGAAGACGAGAGCCCACTGCTTCTATAGAAGTCTTCGGCAAACTCTGACAGCTTGGGCACGGGCGGCGCGGAATTGTGTGCGTTCCAGGGGGCACGGTAGAATTGTTCAGCAGTTGTGGATGTTGGCGGTACCATCTCCTCAGAAGGCATCTCCGAAGACGCGACGGTGGATGTCTGCCATGTGTTTCTCGAGCGGGGAGATAGCGAACCAAAGAAGTTTTCCGGGGATGGGATCTCGAGTTTCGACAGTTCCGATAGAGATGTTCGTGAGCGGGTGCTGGTTGAAAGCACTGGAGTGAGAAGACGGGTTACCAGGCGTGGTGGCGGGTAATGCTGCATCTCAACAACGGGTCCTGGAGAAGCATGTTGGATTGGGATAGCTTCATAACTGGTCTCCTGGATGCTTTCATTATCACCAGAGAGGGCTTGAAGGGTTCTCAGAGCGTCAGGCTGAAGCTGGACACCCTCCCATGCAGCCTTTCCTGGGTCCTCGGCGTCGTCTTCGACTGGGGTTGCGGGGGCGCTCATTGTGGCGAGCTGCTCGGAGCTCAGACTGCCATCCAGAGATGGAGGGGCTGAGATAGTTGGGATCTCCAAGGCTTGTTGCTTGTCCATAAAATTCAGTTGTGCTGGTGACATGGGAAGCTGGGCTCCAGGGGTGGGAGGAGGTGCCTCGTCGGACTTCTTGAGCTCAACCTCGGGGACCGGAAGGAGGATTTGAATGTATTGGGACTTGTTGGATGAAGTACTATCCGAGCGCTGGGCAGAGACCTTGGGGGGAGATCTCCTCTCGTCGTCGGACACATCGTACAAGTCCTCAAACTCGGTGTTTTGGGTACCCACACTCATTCTGTTCCAGGCGTTGGATGACGTGGTTGGGGAGGTGTCGCCGGCTGAGGACTCAGTGTCAGACGGTAGAATGGGAGCAGCAAGATAATGTACACCACGGGGCGTCGGGAAGTGGTCGCTCATGGGCGACAACCAGGCCTGGATCTTCAGATGCGACGTATCCTGACGCCTCGCTTGGTGGCTGACTTTTGCGAATTGATGAAGACCATCATCGCTGTCCTCCTCAATTATGGGATTAAGTTTGTGGCCTCGAGCCTGCGAGGATTGGGAGGGTAATCGCTGGGTGGTAGCCATGTTACCTTGTGGTGTGGGTGTGCTATTCCTGATAGCACTCGAATATACCCGTGAATGTAACGCAGTTAAAAAAAGAAGAAAAAAGGTTGGTCAGACAATCAGATAACGTGGGATCGACGGCCAGCGACGAAGGATTGAAGGAAGAGGAGGTCGGATGGCTTCGATCAACGAAGCATCTATTAGTGAGGAAGGTATAGGACAAAACGGAAAACAACAGAATGGAATAGGAAGAAAAGAGCAAGAAGAAGGGAGGTGAACGACTGGCGGGTCGAGGATAGTAGATGGTCTTATTCGACATGTACGGCGCCAAAGTCGCGTGGTGGAGGAGAGCGCTGGCCAGATGAGTGGCTGGAAAGCAGCGCATCTGGCCCAATGTGGATAGACGGTGGCATTTTTTCGGTCGTAGGCCAGGGCCACCTCGACCAGCTTGGCGCAAACGGATGGGTGCCAGATGCGGGCAACTTGCATGAAGGTGGTGGTGACAACGGCCTTGTGAGCAGGTTCGACGTCAATACTGGCGGCCAGCATGTGGCGCTCGGCCAATCACGTTACATACAACCGACTTCTAAATATGGGCGACGAGGGAAAACGACGCCGGGGGTGGGACCCGCTGAGAGCTGACTGGCCCGTCGCGGGGAAGCTTGGTTCATGGTGTCGTTCTAGCTGGGGCGGGCGGCTGCAGAGATGCAGAGCTGCAGGATATCAGCCAATGGTTTGCTTCTGGCTTGGGGGATGGGCGCCTACGTGCCACCGGGATCCAATATTGGCCGTGCCAGCTTCCAACTTTCCTTTTTCTCCCACTCTGCCCGCATGGCTGTCGGTAGTGCTGTTTAGCCCAGGACAGCAAAGCGCCCGAGTTTCTTGCAGATACCGCGATGAGTGAGTGGTCTGATGCAGACTAAGTGGACTGAAGCACGTTGCGGTGACTTGACTGACACGCCGTGGCAGTAGGGGTGGGAGGGCGGTAAGTGATGCTGGTCTGTACCTAGATCCATTCGCAATAGGGGGGATTGGTAGGTGACGTCGCCAAGATGATGGCTGTGCAATAGTCAGCATAAACTTGTTCTAGAGCATCCTGGATATTGGAACTCGGACTGTGATGGATTGCCGCTGCGGTGGATGCCTCTAGGTGTGGTTGACAATTTTCGGTCGGCGCTTCGGCGGCGAGCATCCACCTGCTCAATGCAACATCACGATTCCCTGGTGCCTGAGGCCACGATCAGGTCTGTCGTCTTGCATACAGAGGTAGGTCCCTGCGGCAAGGTTAAGAGCTTACATAAACTGCTACCATCCTTCAGCCAATGTTCCTCCTCTGGATACCAGGTGAAGGAATTATGCATACCTTACGTCGACCCTTACCTGTGCCTTAGGTAGGTAATAAGATGGTTAGGCTGCTCGTAGGGTAACAGACTGCACGTAATAGGAGAACCATGGGAACAGTCTGACTTGCATTGGCAAATTGTCTTACCGCTATCGTAGCTTTCTAATCTAGATCCTATATTACAATGTTCCGAGCAGGACCATCATAAGGCGAAAACTGTAGTCGGCGGATTTGTTGCTTGGGAAAGCTGAGCCCCACCTCTGTTCCCGGATCGGAACAAGAACACGGCGAAGAAAAAGTACGTCGGTGCCACTACGAGTACCCAGTGCTTTGGGTAATAATTGGGTGGGGTGACATTTAAATTGATACTTCCAAACATCATCCCGTCTTATTCTCAAGTCAATGGCCGGTATTGTCCCACTACTAAGGGCTAATAAGAAGAACTTACTAGACTATACATTCAATAATGTTGATACATGTTATTTTATATGCCATATCGTTCTATCACTCACAGAGGGCGCTCATATCGTAACCATCATTCATCTTTCTGTCCCATTTATTTTGTCACCCACTTGAGTGGCTGAAGCTCCTGATCCCCGCGGCGTCTGTTGACGTTGCTGGGAATTACCCCTCCATTGTGAGCCCACAGCGGGCTACACAGCTCTACCCCGCCATGAATTTGCTGCTGAGAGCACCACCTACGCGTCTCCGTCACGTTGGCTCTCAAATATTCCACGCAACCACTTCATAGTCTGTAGATATGGCAGACTCAGAACAGCCAGAAATCTCTTCCGAACCTCAGAGCAGGCATGTGACATACTGCGGAGGTAAAGTCTGAACAATGCACACTCGACAAGCATCGTCTAATTGTTAATTTTTCTAGTTTGCACTCTGCCCCCCGAGGTAGACTCTTCCCCGTCCGACTCTCGCCCGAGCTCCGCATCGTCCGCTGTATTCCTAGGAATTCTTACTGAACGTTTGCCGAATAGTACTGCGAATATGGTGGTACCGTAAAGAAGTGCCAGGAGTGGCTCCAGGAGAACCACCCGACGTTGTACGAAAGGATATGGTCACCAGGTTCGCTTTGCCCGAATACCCATTCCTTCCTGCAGAATCCAGTCTTTTTGATTACCGTCTTCTGATACCTTGCGTCATGTAGAGGCACTGGAAGCAGCGACCGCAGCTCTGTCTGTTGATGCCCAAAAGAGAGCCGCACGCGACGCCCAGAAGAAGACCGCAAAGGCCGAGGCAGCCGAGGCCAAGCAAGCTGACAAGCTTGCAAAGAGCGTCGTGACTATCAAGCGGATCGAGCGAAACAAGAAGAAATTCGTAACCGCGGTCATCGGCTTGGAGGCATTTGGTCTGGAGCTCAAGAAGGTAGGTGGCGTTGCTTTATCCTTATTCTGCCGAGAATAAGAATGCTCATCATTTTTGCAGGTAGCAAAGGATCTGGGAAAGAAGTTCGCCACAGGATCCTCGGTAACAAAGGTTCCTAGTGGAGGTGAAGAGATTGTTGTACAGGGCGATGTTAGCGACGAACTTCACGATTTCCTTCTGGAGAAGTACAAGGATATCCCCGAAGACAACATCGAATTGGTCGACGATAAAAAGAAGAAGAAGGCTACCTCAGGATAAGGGTCGGTCGGGTGGGGTGCATAGAGCGTAGCAGCAATTTGAAGCCGCATATGTCAATTGATTGTGTCAAAAACTCCATTTTCTAATCCATGATATTGATCCATCCATGCAAAATCCGTTCCCTCATGATTAATATCTAGACGCCCGACCTGGGGAAAGAAACAAACTCCAAAATGATCTCATAATTCCATTGCTTATGCTCGGCTTCGAAGCACTCTTCCTGTCCGGGTTGTTGAAGCTGCGGTAGTCTTGGGGGCTGCTTTTTTCGCGTTAGAACTTGCTGTGCCTTTATTGGTCGCTGCTGTAACTGGCTTTCTTCGCGGAGCAGGATTTGTCGACTTGGGAGCAGCGTTTCTTCTAATTACGGTAGTTGTGCTGGCCTCACTCATCTCGCTTGTTGCGCTCAGCCGACGGCCCATGCGGGTCGCCGGCCTGGAGGTGGGTGCTCTGGAGGCAGCTGGGGCTGGGGCACGGCGTGTCTTGCTCGCGGCAGTAGATCCAGTCGTGGTCGAGCTGGTGGTTGATGTGGTTGTCACTTTTCTCGTTCCTGTTGCCCGTGCCGACTTTGCTTTCTCCACAAAGTTGGAGAGCATCTTTGTAGCCGTTGCAGTGCGTGTAGGGGCGGCATTCTTGAGAGGGGAGGCAGGCCTGGCAATTTGCGACTTGGCGGGAGATGCAGGTCGTTCTCGGTTGGCGTTGAGACGAGAATTGGAGGATGTAGGGGACAGAATCTGTGCCGGCCGAATAGGTGGGCCATCATTATGGTGAATCACGCGCCTCTTCTTGGTGTTTGCGATGTCTTCGATCTCATTCTCCTTATCTCCAGAGATCTCAGTGCTTTATATGACGTTAGAAACAATTAATATTTTGAAGAGACATATCGCCACATACCTTTGTCGCTTTGCTACGCGTCCAGTCCGCTGAGACCTGATTGGTTGTTGGGCAGGCTTTTGAGGACTGCGTAAGGACGTGATGTCTTTGAATGGGACTGGTGGTGGGTGTCTGCTGGCGGCAGCGGTTCGTTGTTCCTTTTCGGCGTACTTGAGTAGTAAATCTTCCATCTTCAGCTTTCGCAATGGCATGGGTATGCGATTTATTCTGATCTCAATACGAGAGCGCAGGCCTTGAGCTTGCAGATTATACTGGGCCCGCATTCTTCGAGCGCGTTCGGTGACTGATTTATATCGTGTTAGTAAATAGACCACAAGAGATCATTGAACCATAGTCGCGTACTTTCGAGTTGCAAGTTGTCGATTAGAGCTTGCTTCTGTTGTGCGCTTATGATGCCCTTTCTCTGCTTGATTGGACTCTGGTGTCTAGGTGTTGCGACGGCCTTCATTGCTGCTGAGTTCGAATCGCGTTTCTTTGGTCGAACGGGCGCCATCTTGTAGAGTGTGTTGTAGTTTATTTTCCGACGTTTGTTGAATTCTGGTGAGGGTTGATGCTTCTATTTTGTGCTAAAGTGTTGTCGATTTGACGTGTACTTCTGAAGAATTCAAGTTGTTGTGAACCGTGATGGGTTGAATGGATCGAGAGCTTGGGGAAGTAAACAAACCAAGAGCTCTGAGCCTCTCGACCGCTGTGTTGAATATTACATAATCATTCTTGGGCGAGGAAAACTGGGGCTGCTGGGGCTGCCCGAGAGGTACCTCGAGCTTGGTGCAATTTAGGCCAATCAGCGAGTACAGTTCTCCATATCGCTGGAGCTGTTTGCCCAGCAGGCTGAACCACCTTACGACATCGGCCAGCTGCCTCTGTCTGCTTCTCTGTGCATCAAAAGCATAATCACCACCCTTGATCTCCACCCCGGCAAGACCGAAAGCGATCCTTTCTCACGACTTTCCTTCTGCATACTTTGAACCTAGAGCATTAGACCACAGCTATTGACCGCTTCTTTCCACCATCATCATGGTTCTCGAGGCGGTTATGGTTGTCGTTGACAACAGCGAGAGCAGTAGGAATGGCGACTATCAACCTACGAGATTCGACGCCCAAGTCGATGCCGTAAACACCCTCTTTCAGACCATTACGCAAGGAAACCCCGAGTCATCAGTTGGCCTGATGAACATGGGCGGAAAAGGTCCCGAGGTCCTCGTCACCTTGACCACAGAGCAGGGCAAGATCCTGGATGGGCTGCACCGAACGAGGAAGAAGCTGAGTGGAACTGCCCATCTCAAGACCAGCATTAAAGTGGCACAGGTAAGTCCTAGGCAACCCCAGCACGGCGTCAGGATCGGTGGATTAACATAATGATAGCTTGCCCTCAAGCACCGACAGAACCGATCTCAGCGTCAACGGATAATCGTGTTCATCTGCTCGCCGATTGCAGAGGAGCAAAAGGAACTTGTACAGCTTGCAAAGAAGATGAAGAAGGAAAATATCACGGTTGACTTTGTGCTCTTCGGCGACCTCGAGGATGACGGCACTCATCAGAAGCTCGAGGCCTTCAACGAGGCTGTCAAGGGTAGCGAAGGCTCCCACTTGGTGGTTTTCCCACCGAGCAGCAAGCTCCTGGGCGATCAGCTCGTCTCCAGCCCCATTCTGCTCGGAGACAGCGCCGGTGGATCTGGAGATGCAGGGCAATCTGGCAATGAGGAGTTTGAGTTCGGATTCGACCCAGCTCTGGAGCCCGAGCTTGCTCTAGCTCTGCGCATGAGTATGGAGGAGGAGAAGGCCAGACAGGAGAAGAAGGCAAAGGAGGAAGAAGAGGCTGCCAAGAAGGCTTCCCTGGAAGGAGTGAAGGAGGAGGATGAGGCTGGCGGTAGCGGAGATGCTGGCGCAAAGAAAGATGGTGGCGATAAAATGGACACATCCTAATCGGTTGCTATAGATTTACTTGCACGATAAACACAAGGCAGGGACAATAGTAGAGGAACTGCTAGTTCTGTCTGGATCGATTGCATTTATACAATTCTGACACCAGTCCCACCACCCTATGTAATCACAAACAGAACTATCGACGCCGTGAAGGCCGAGTCTTGGCCTTGATGATGAGAAGGTGAACCTGTGAAATCGAATTCTGTGCTTCCATTACCGATTATTAATCTCCCTTATGTACGACAAGAGCTTACGATCGAAGATCTCGCATCTGATGGGCATTTCTAAAGAATAGAAGGGGTTCTTCATGACGTAATCGGCATAGAGGTCATATATCTTCTTCATAGTGATATCCCCATTTGTCTGAGTTGTATCTGTGAAGAGTAGGAATTTGGTGCCCGTGAGGGTGTTGAAGCACTGCATGCGAAAGTTCTCTGACTCAAGACTTTCTAGTCCGGACGGAGGGTCCGGTCTTGAGTTTGCAGCTGATGCGTCCTTGGTAGCCTGTGGAAGCCCCTTAAGCGGGTTCAAACGGGCAGTAATAGCGTGGACACTGACCCCGAGAAGAAGGAGAGAGAAGCGGTCAGTTGTGTGCATGTGTGGAAATGAAGGTGAAGCTCAAAGATCACTTACCCATGAAAGGTTCCGGCCAGGACGAGGTAGTCATTTGTGCTGATCTGGTTCAGGCCGTCGTGGAAGTTCTTGTTGTAAACTAAGCCACCCGCCTTATTGATGATGATGAGGGCGAAGATAGTCCTGTTTTGACGAGGTGCGTGAGCCAATGAGCCTTGGGATTCGACTGGATAAACAGCCAGCTTTGAACCTACATGATGGGCAGTATGTAAGAAGCTATACGCCATTCACTTCTAGATTTTTATCAGGATGCGCTGGAACGCCCACCTGGTTCCTTGCCAGCTAGTTGATGGGCCACCATGAATGAACCTGGGAGAGGGACGTCAGTGGATTGCATATTGCCATTCAGTCAAAAAGACTAACCTTGCAAATATACTGGGTTGGTGATATCCTATAATCTTTGCCACCGCTTGCTTGCTCAAGCCATGCAACTTAATGCAAGCCGCGTTTATTTCATTAATGTCGTCCCTGGATTGGGGTAATTATGTGTGAGGCTACCGGGAACTGCTGTCCAATTTCAAACAGATACCCCTTGGAGGTCGATACCTCAATCAAGGTACAAGTACTTTTTCGTCGTACTAAACAGACACTAATACGGCTGTAGAGAGACCTACCTCTCTCAGAAAGCTTGTCGTCACGCATTAAACCTAATTTAGTAAAATGATAACCCAAAAAAACTCAGGGCTCCAAAAAACTACTTCTCCCGGCTTAGCTCCATACATAAAAACACTTGAAATCGAACAAAGGCGACAGACCATTTCCGCTCTAATTTATCAACCACCATTGTTGTCGCGTGGGGGAAGGCGCCAATCCGATCGAGACAGCCTTACTTTTTGCCTTGGCCGCCGCTTTTCATCTATATCTTTTTTCCTCCCCACGGTTCGAATTTTGATTACGACGCGACACATTCTGCACGGCCGTGGCACGCAGGACTCTCTTCAGATACCGCCAAACGGTGTCGCCCAGGGTAGAGCTTGCTTCTCGCTTCATTAATTTCTTCTCTCCGCCTCGCAAGCTCACCTCCGACTTCACGCTTCCTTCCGCCGAGTTCCCTCTCGAGTTTCTAGCAGTTCCGCCGAAGGAACAATGTCCAACCATCCCCGCACATCTCGCCCCAAGCCTCCTCCTCCCGGGAACGAAGAAGCATCCGCGACCCTGAACCTCGGAGAGTTCCAGAATGTCGATACCCTCACCCTATCAGAAGCCGCGCTTGTCCTGAATGCGCTGGTCGCGAAGCGTCGCAACGACCGGAAGAACGTGAACGAGACCGAGTAAGCCAAAGCCGCATATCACAATCCACCTGTCTCTGTGTGCTGCCAGGGGGAAGGTCGAATCTCGTAGAATGGAAGAGTGAACATGTGATGTGCTGACGCAATTGGTCTCTTTTTTTGCTCCGAAATAGAATGCTGAACCAAACCCTAAATTACCTGGACCATTTCGCGCGATTCACGCAGAAGGAGAATGTCGAGGCTGTAGAGCGCCTTCTGAGCGCGCACAAGAACCTGGAGAAGTTCGAACGAGCGCAGCTTGGTACGTGAGCCGCGCAAGAT